GTCAGAAGAAGCACAGTTTTGAAGAATTTACTGGTTGTTAGTGTCATCTGCAGAACTTTGTGTGCTGGAGACAAGTTGTGGAGTTTACTGGTTTTTGTTGAAAGTTAATGGAAGTGGATGATTGTAATTAACTGTCAGCTATCCCCACCATAATTGGCAGATAATCAGTCATTTTGGTCATAAGTTCTTTTGGATAACTGAAATAAATACATACTTCTTTTCTCATGATGAAATCAGGCCTCGTAAAAATGTCTCTCTTGCAAGTTGCATGTGAAATTTTTGACTTACATAATTAACTTAGTTTATACTTCTGATTAAGGTAATTAATTCATAGTCTTCTCTTCCCACTAAGATGAAAGGCTTAACAGAAATTTGCTACTGGGTTCAGCCAAACCACTGAAATGAAAATGTTCTCATATTACATATGACACTTTTTGGAGGAAGAGATTGAAGGAGATGCTTGTTCCTTACAGGTTTTTTTTCCTTCTTGTTCATTAAAAATTTCTTCTTCGGAGTAAACAATTAAACGCTAAAGTAAAAATACCTAGCAATTAAACAATATCATGCTCCTATTCATTTGATACCTGATCTTTGCTAATACATGCCTTTCTTTTGTAAAAACATGTTCCAGATGAAATTTAATTCAAATATGCATATCTCATAAAGATACTTCCCGAAGCACACACTATCACTCATACTAGTGTTATTAGCAACCCTTAAACAGGTAAAGCAGTTTTGTAAGCTTCTTTTAACACTTCTTTATGCTGATATTTTCAGGCCTTTATAGCAAAGCCATTTTTATAAATAATTGCTAGTTGTGTATGCCAGTCGTGTGTAGCATTAGAAAACAGTTCTTTTCCTATGATGGTATGAGGAGATTAGACTAGACTAGAGAAAATTAAATGGATAAGACCAGCTGTAAAGTTTCTGTGTGCAATCCTGGTTAACCTGTCCTGCTGCACCTGCTACAGTTCATGTAGTTATTGTTCAGATAATTTTGGTGCCTTTAATGAATTTTATTTTTTTTTTGACATTTTGGGTTTCTTCCTGTTTGTCAAGGAAGGAGAAGAGCATCTTGTAGTTTGCATCAGTTCCATGTATACCTTGAAGTTATTTTATAAAATCTCTTTTGCCAAGTTTGCTTACAAGGATGTTGTGTGGGCTGTGATATGTCTTAGATATACCAGAGTTCTGCTCAATGAGCAAGACCTGCTAGTTTGATCCAAGGAAAAGCTAAGTTTGTTCTGCTCTGATATTGCTCTGTGCATGCTTGATACAGGGTGCTACAATATGTTCTCTGTAACTTGACATTTCTTGAAATTAAAATTTGGTTGGCTGCTGTTTAATGTACTGGCTTATACTTCCCTCCTTCTCCTCCTCCTCCCCTTGGGCTTGGCACTCACTTTTGGTTTACAGGACTTTACCTATTTGCTATGGTACTCCAAAGGAGTCACTGGCAACAGACACTGTCTTGCAGATTTTCCTTATTACTGGAAGGGTTAACTTTAAAAAGTCCGGTACACTGAAAAACATCTGATTTCTTTAAGCAGTCTGTAGCCTTTTTTCCTGTTCTAGCCTGTATGTTTTGCCACTGTATTGCTGCTTTCAGTCATTTGATCATTTCTGTTAATGAAGGCAGGAGGAAAAACCACATGCATCACTGAGGCCCTTTCAGAGTGATCTTCTGATTTTTTTGGGGATTGGCACACCGGCTGTTTCCCTGGGCTTCCTTTTTGCTTTTGCAGGGCCTGCCTTTTACAACAAATTAGGAGAATAAATGCTCATGCTGTGTTTGGCCAGTGTATTTGAACCAGAGTTTGACTCCTTAGTTGAATCCTAGCTTGTCTTTGACTGAGCCAGTTCTCATGAACGTTTTGTGTCTTCAGATGCAACACGATTTTGGCAATTAAAAGATTAATAAGATATTTACCTTCATGAGAAGCAGGCAGGAAGAAAAAACGTGTTTAAAATGTCTCCAAAGTGGCAGGCAACTGTGAAGTGTGATAAATACAAAATTAAGCCTTCAAAATATTTGTTTTTTACATAATTTGTAATTAGTCTTTGAGAGAAAGAAAGCTGCTGAAATCTTTACCACTGATACTCTTCCCCCTGCTTTGTGACTTTCTGTCTCTCCTGAGAACAGAGTGGTCTGTGTGTTTGTTTCTTTTTGTTCTGTGTAAACATTTCAAAGCTGCTTTCTTTTTTTGTTTGTTTGTTTGTTTGTTTGTGTTGGTTTGGGTTTTTAGAGAATGGAATGAAGTGAAAAAAGAAAAAGGGCACATAAAGAGAGAATTTTAATAGTTTATTAGTGGTGTCTTTGGCTCAGTTAATATTTTTACATAATTGACTGTTATGCCTAGATGATCGGATGTCACTGCCCAAGTGCAGAATACTTGTGGATGTGCTCAGTAGGTATCTTAGAGCTGCCTGAAAGAGATTACATGAGGTTTAGCAGATATCCAGGCCTTTTGACTTGCTTATCCATTCTGATAGACTCAGCAGAATGCAAACTTCATTGTATTGTGAAGCATCTGGCCAGTTTAATTGCAAATTTATCTGACTGAATGTGAACACAGATCAGAGCAATGAATATTCATTTTGCAAATAACATAGCATTGTGGCTAGCCTTTATAATCATTCCTGTGCTCAGTGCAACTGTATCTAATAGCATTTGCCATAAGCTTCTTTTAGAAGTTCTATCTTCTGCTCAGCAATCTATTTCTGTGAGATCTCTTAGCACTACAAATAGTTGTGTTGATGGTATTGCTCAGTCAGCAGTCCTTGTTTTTAATGTCAGAATTTCTGTGGGGATCCATCAAGGCTCCCTGCTTTATCAGCTTTTTGCTTCTGTAACCTTATTACAAAATTTTTTAAAAATCTGAGGATACTTTCCTCATCCTTGTTAGAGAGAACTCTGCGTTCCCAGTCTGTGCATTGTTCCATCTGCTGTAGCCTGTTTTTATCATTGTGTTTGATGTCTTTGGAAGATGCAAAACTGAAAGAGCCTTTCTGATTTAGCAAATCTACCTCCCTGTTGCCTTGGCCTGCCACACCACAGGAGGAAACTGTCAACTAAAATCCAAGATAGTTAAAGTGAAACTTGTGAATTTTTGTTCCTCCACACCTCAAACCATTTTAACAGCTTGGACATTATTATCTTCTCAGTTGTTTTATATTCTTAATGTCATTTTTTGGCTTGGCTTTCATCCAAGCAGTAAACACATTCTGGTGCTGCTTTGTCTATGGCAGCAAAGTGTTGATCTTTCTGCTCATTTAATTTTCACCAAGTGCTTACACATTTTGACATAATCAATTTTCACCTGTCCTACCTTTAATTGCTGCAGTATAACCACAATAGGTCTGTCAGATATTTTGCTATCAGAATAACCTCCCTGTTGGTTTTCCACTTTTCACCTGATCATCTGTGCAGTACCTTTTCTCTTGGCTTCAATGCATATTCCTCCTTGTCTCAATCTTGACATACAGAATGAGTTACACTACCACTAAGTTCCATTGATGTTTCTGGTGCTCATTGCTCTCCTCTTCTCCTTAGTGTCTGGAAAAAACTGTGTGAATAGCAATGATTCTATTTCAGGTCACTTCTCACAGTTGTTCTCTGCTGTGAAGCCTGGAAGAAACTCATGGTGACTGTTGTGGTCAGCTTGAGCCTGTTTTTCTTCCTCCTTCTTTAGTTACTTCACTGCAATTTCCTCTCATTTTTTTTCTATCTCCAGTTGAAACAAGCAAACAAACAATCCACAAACTTCAAGGCTTTTTTTTTTCATTATCTTGTTTTTGGCTTCATCTTTGTCCAATTTTTTGCAGCCATTTGAGAATTAAACTGATTTGATTTTTTGAGTCCAACCATAAATATTATGTTTAGGCATTGTTGTTGTCACATTTGTTGTGTGTTCATATGCTGCTTTACAACAGAAATGTTGTGCCACTGATCTTGCTTTTGAAGAAATTATTTTTACTACTACTTTGTCACTGTGCTATTGTTATTTATTTTCATTCCAAACATACAGGCTGATATATTGTAGCACCTGTCTGGCCACAGAGTTTCTATCCCCAGAGCCATAAAAGGCTCTTACTGAATCAGTGCCATGTCATGCTTACTTTCTTTATCTGTTCTGGGGTTTATATTACCTTTACTTTGTAGCATTTCTCACATTTTTATAGCCTGTGTGTAAGCATGATATGAGTAATTAATCCAAAGCCAGAACTACGTTTATGTTTCCATGTCCTCCTGCGGTTTTGGGAAGTAGCCAAGCTTCAAGGGGTGTCCATTTATACACCCACTTAGACCAATATGATAGCTCTGGGAATTTCTTCCTTCTGTGATTCCTCTCCTAGCTGTAACTTGTACATACATTCCTCAAATGTACAGATGGAGGTTTTCCCTATTTTCTTCTTTAATTTTGCAACAGGGCAATGGTGTAACCTGTTTCTTACTACAGTTACTGTTCCCTTGCTGTGAGTATTTTCTGGTTTTCTGCCATCAAGATGTCTTCAGAATAGAAGGTTTTGTGGAATGGTAGCTTGATTGAGTACATCAATTGTATTTTACTTACATTAGCCACAGCTCACATAAGCAGTAAAGCCCATGCATAAGTAACATTCCTTTGATATGTCTTTTAATTTGGTTGCTGTAAGATTGAAGATACTATCTGCAAGGGTGAGAAGTCAGTTTTGCAAAAGGCAATTGGGCTAAAGCCTGTTTGGATGTTAAGGTGTAGTGAGAAGTTTGTTTCTGCCTTTTTTTCTTATTTTTATTTTTTCCTTAGATACTGATCTGTATTATATGATTTTTTTCACCCATTTGAACATTATACTGTTCAAATAGAATACTCTATGGTTATCTTTAGATTCAGGCTTGATTTAAATTACACCTTAAAATTTGAAACATTCCTTCATCTTATCTGGCATCTGAAACTGCTCAGCTGGAGCTATCCTTGCTGGTTTTGTGGGGTTTAATTTGTTTAATTCTTTGTTTTTAGGAGGTCTCTGCTGATCCTTCAGGAACTCTCACAGCTGCTGAAGAGAGAAAAGAGAAGGTGCCAAGCCCACATCTCAGTCATCTCGTAGTTTTGACATCTGGCAATTCACTGTATGGTTTGGCAGAGAGAGTGGTGGCCACAGAATCCTTGTAGGTTGTTTACTGTACACAGTATTTTGTGATCATTGAAAACTGGGGATTGTTTAAGAAATTGTGATTACAAACCAAAACCTTCTTGAGAGCTGAAAAATTCCTACATCTTAATGACACTTTAAATACGAGTGATAGAGGTAATTTCTTTATTAAAGATAGTGGGGCCTAACCATCTGGTCTAACAACCTGCAAGCACAACAATTAAATTTTACTGCAGGTAGCCCAGTAATTTGTGCCAATACAAGAAAAACATTTAATTTTAAAGAGGCTAATTTAATCTGTATGGTTCATTTTAACCTTATGCTGAGACTCAAAACTGCTTAGTTCATATTGGTTTAGCTTGGATTACCATATTTTTTCCAATGGGTGGAAGCGGAACTATGAAGAAGAGATTATAATGAGCAAGTAATGCAAAGTTACACAGTGGTTTTTATTTGATCAGAATAATAGTAAGGGTCAGGTAGGAATTATTTTTTCCCTACATAAGATGACACTTAAAAATTAGAAATTAATTTTAAAAATATATTTTTCATTTACGCTTAGTTAGAAATGTATTTCCTTGTTATGTTGTTACTAACAAATTCTACCTGTGACAATGAATATGATACCAAATTCTGTCTTATAGATTCACTAATGTATAAGTAATTAGGAATTTTTTTTTAATTATGACATGGATTTATTAGTATTGTTGTTCACTATCCTGCAGTATGGAAAATGCTTGACACTTGGCCACTAGACCTTGCACCAGACTTTTGCAATGTATCCTGAGTAAAATAGAAATATGAATTGTTGGTATTTAAGCCTTAGTCTCTTTATTCAAGCATTTTCTTTGCATGCATATTTTAAAATTGTCAGAATTGAGAATACTTGTTGTTATGCTGTCATGAAATTGATACAGTTCTTCTCAGGACTAAATTTTCCAAGGTTACATATTGTTATTGTCAAATATGTCAACTGTAGAGTAAAAATTGTAAAGAGACATGCCAAACATTGCATTTAGTTCACAGTAAATTTTCTTTGCTTTCAAAGGGTATTTCTGGCTGAGCAGTTTGAATTTCTTCAACCTCATCTTGATGCAGTGATGCCAGCTGCCAAGAAGCCTTTTCTTCAGCAGTTCTATTCTCAGGTCAGGATTGTGTAATTCACAGCTGATTTTTGAACAGAAGATTTGAAACTTGTACATTACAGTGCAAATACTTGTACATAATAGTTATATATTGTTCCTAATAGCCAGAAATTTACTGAATTGAATTTTATTTATATTCTGTTTCAGACAGTGTCAACTGCCAGTGAACTACGTAAACCAGTGTATTGGATTGTTGCTGCTAAAGCCATTGATTATGAACAAATGCTACTTCTCATGGCTAATGTGAAATGGGATGTGAAGGAAATCATGTCACAGCACAATGTATATGTAGATGCTCTTTTAAAGGTGAATACTTTATGAGAAATGGTTTGCTAGAGTTTATATAAGCATTAAACTGTTTTCAGTGATGATTTTTTGACTACATGGTGGGTGAAAGTGACCACAAAAGTTTAATGAATCTCATGTCTAAGTCTATAATTATAGAGAATTGTGTAGCAAACAGAGTAACGTTGAGGAAAATCTGGTGGATAATGTGTTTTGTTTTTTTTTAACAAAGTCTTTTTGCTGTTCTGAATAATTTTGGTGATTGTCTTAGGGGCTGTAGGTCAAATCACCACCGATAATGATCGCACAGTATCTAATTGAAGTTGCTATATTTAGATGTTAATACTTGAAAAGGAAAGTAAGGGAAGTTATTCATCCAGCTTCTCAATTACATTCGGTAGAAGTGGTTATACAATTGCTACGTCTTGGGACAGTCCCTTTCTCATTCTTTTATATATGCCTAAATAATGTTTCTAAAGGTCTTCAGGGGGAAGATCTGGCAGTAGTAGAATTGTACTACTATATTACAGAGAAACTGAAAGTTTCATCCTTTTATTTTAAAAATGTGTGAACTGTGTATCCCAGAAAAAGCTACGCATCTGTGTTGAATAACAGTTTTGATAACACCTTTGTACTTTGTAGCTCTTCTCTGCTTGAAAAAAAATCGGGGCAAAGAAGGAAGAATTTGACAGAGGATATATTGTTGCACTGAATTTGACAGAGTCTTTGTGATTACCCTTGTTTATGCTACCATGGCTTTTTGATATCAGTTTGTACTTAAAATAGTTAATCACTGGGGGAAAAACTTTTTCCTTTTGTGAGTGTGCAACTGCTGATGAATTTGCTTCAGGACAATCAGGTCTAATCCCATCTAAACCCAATTCTGGTCTGTACATTATATGGCTAGTACTAATTACTATGAAAGCTTTTAGGTTACTGCTAAGCAATTAGTGATTTGCTGTGTACACTAGGACTCCAGGAATGTCAAATATAGGTAGTGTCTAAAGTAATAATCAACTACTTTCAGCCATGTGCACACATATGCAAAATCCTATATTCAGAGTATTTATGGAAGCAGATAAAATGGGGAAAGATGATTGTTCAAGAAGTTGATTATTGTGGAGCGTTAGGCATCTTCAGAAGTGGGAGTTGTATGCCAATTAAAGCATGACATTGTGGTACCCTACTTCTTCTTGCCAAATTCATCTTTCAGAAAATTTGTTTTAAACACCAATTGGTTACTGAGATTCCTTTTTGATTTTTTTCACTTACTGAATTTTTGATGGGGAAGGGTATAAGAAGAAATTAACAGCCTTGGAATGAAAACACTTTGTTGGACAAATGTGGTCTTAATAGGCCGCACTGCAAACTGCTTTTGCTGGTTATGCAGAAGAGTTCATTACCAGTCTGCTTTATATTTAAGTAATTTGATACATTTTTTAAACAATAGAAGCATGAGTCACCAGCAGCAAACTTCTGTTTCACTTTATTTAAGTCACAAAATCATTGCAGTAGTACTTACATTCAGTTATGACTAGTTTCTCACTCCTAGTATCAGCTCAAATCCATCCAGGCCATTGATGTTTCATGTGGAAACAGGTGCCTTCTCTTAACCTGAATTGTTATCTGGTGCTGCAGTGTGCTCCTGAACTGTTAGATTTGGCTTCTTTCAATGGATTCTCTCAACTGCTTTTAAAGGACTGAGGAACTATCTAATCTGAAAGGTTGAAGAATGAAAAATGGTTACAATATTTCTGAGCTTCTCTTTGAAAACTGATGGGGTAGGTATTTAGAGGGATAAAGAGATCATCACTGGATTTTCTTCAGTGGCTGTATATTGACTTAAAGAAGTTAAATATGAGTTTAGGGAGTGAGACAATGAAAATGGCATTTGAAGGATAAGCTACTTGGTTCATTTTCAAAGGTGTCATTTTCACAGAGAACTACAGCCCTGGGGAGCAGAGCAGCATTTCCTTTTGAAAAAAAAATCACTGAGGTGATGTTGTGAGTTATATACCAGAAAGTGGTATGTTTTCTACTTTAGACATTAATCTTGTCTGTACAGTCTGTGTCTATTAAGCTTCTCAGCTTTGCTCTTATTTTTCAGTATTCTCTTTCATGTGCATCTCTAATTCTTTGTTGTTGTTGTATGATGTATAGAGTATGATCCATTTTTTGCTAAAAGAATAAACATCTTTTATATTTTGCCAGGAATTTGAAGAATTTAACAGAAGGTTGAATGAGGTGTCTAAGAGAGTCCGTATTCCCCTGCCAGTTTCCAACATCCTTTGGGAACACTGCATACGCTTGGCCAATAGAACTCTAGTGGAAGGGTGAGTACTTCATGAAAGTCTTGCTTTTGGGTAAGTATGTCTGTAATGATAACATCTATTTTATGGAAGTTCTAATTTTGTAGTGCCCACGTGCTTTTGGGGAGCCTGAAAAATAGTGCTTAACATACTCCTTAGCAACTGTTTCACAGAGTGTGGCCCTAAGCCTAAAGGGGATGGTCTTGTTCCTAGACACCTCTGAAGAATGACATCGAATGTTTCACTGAAGCATTTGAAAACATAGTGCTCTTTCAAAGCTACTTCTGTATGAAAATTACCATTTCCCAGCAGGGCAAGAAGAAAATTAAAAGGGTAATTGTCAGCACCTCAGTGGTGATACAATTTATCTTAGCCAGGAAGAAAGATGGAGTTGTCAACCATAGCCATCATCTTAGAGTAGCCTTGGAACAGGATTTTTCCAAATGCATCAGGAATAGAAAGGTGTCTTAGTTAGCTTGGTCAGTAGAGGCTCAAGCACCTTGGGAACTGTAACAGCTTGCTTATCCCTCTCTTTTTTAATCAGTGTCCCAGTCTTTTCAGATTCAATATTGTAGCCTAAGTATTGTAGACCTTTCATCCACTGCATTTATTTTTGTGAGTTTGTCCCCTTGCTACGTATGTCTGGGCTCTCATCACAACTTCTTCTGCATCATAGAATGTGTGCTGTCTTCCACTGCTTCTTTCCATATTTCTTTCCTGGTTTTCTTTACCCTATGCACTTCATACTACCTATTTTATTTCTTGACATCCCACTCTCCTGCTGTCTGCTCTAAATTAGGACCTCAACAAAACATCCTTCTTCTCCAAGTGTTAGCTACCTTTTGAGGATTGTCAGCTTTCACTGTTTCCATCAAACCATCATTTTTTAACTCATGCCCATTTCTTTTCATGCCGTGATCCTTTTGCAGTCTCTTGAGAGATCAATTTCATGTTCAGGGCAACTAAATCCAGCCATGACCTCCCTCTGGCTTCTCAGTTCCTTCATAGGACATATGACCTATACAACTATCTTTTCTTTTTGAAATTTTATTTTCCACTTATCATACCTCAAATCAAAATAAGTGAAATAAAGTCTTCTCTCTTCTCCTCACCCTGCCCACCTTACCTTTCAAGTCAATAACACTGTCAGTCACTACCAACCTCCTTTCTCACAAGCTTTGTGTTTTGAACTTGTTTTCTTTTCTTACATCACAATCTCATTCATCTTTTGTGACTTTGGTGTTCATGACCAACTTCATTCTTAGCTCCTATGTCTTGTTCCATGCTGCAATTTTGGTTCACGCTTATGACTTACCATGAAACTGTCACTTTAACCTAAACATTTCACTGGCTGGTCAGGATGGATTGGGAATACCTTGCTGATATAATTTGTCCTGTGCCCTTTCTGAGAGTGTAAAGAGGACTCATTATCATCTACTCTCAAATATTTGCCTGTAATTTCTCATTCTCGCCCAGTTCTTCTTTTCTTACATATCTTGTAGTTTCTTTTCCCACTGGGGAAAGGGAAGGAAGGTATTCTGAACAGCTGACTCCTGAATACCTTCGTAACTTCTTTCGTCTCTGTATTCCATGAATGTAGGGAATTCAAAGCCATGAAGGAGGTGGTTTTCCTTCAGTCAGCCAGTCAACTGAAATTGCTCTCATTAGGCTCTTTACTGAGTGAAGAATCATCTCCACTACAGGCAGTGATATCTTTCTTTGAATTTTGACCTTCCCTATCTCCACTTTCTCTGCTGTCTCTTGTTTTCCAGTTGGCTTCTTGAGCCTGTTGAGAATCATCTTCTAATCTTCTATGTAGAAGTCCTCTAGAGGACTTTTGTATTGATGTCCTCTCTTTTTGCCTCTGTTATTTTTGCATTCTGCAAATTCTTTCTACATACCAACTGTAAGTGTGAAATTTCTTCTTACTCTTAACCTGATTTTGCTGTGTATCTGGTTTTTAGCTGCATGTTTCTGCTGCATCCATTGCATCAGACCTGATAATCTAGGGACTATATATATACATATATATATACATATATATATATATATGTAAGGGCTGACTTCATCCATCAGTGGAAAACTGAGCTTGTTCTACATTCAGTAGAGGAGTAGAGTGGGGCAGGATTATAAATTGTGGCAGCAGCCTGTGGGTGAGCTGGATTAAGTCTCTCAAGAGACTGTGCTCCTGACCAAAGCCTTTTTATTCCCTGTACACAACTGAAATTGGCATTGTTAAGGGCATTGCAGTGTCATTTCCTCTGATCTTGACAAATGCAATTCCTTACCCATTTTAAAAACCGCAGAGATCCTTTTCCTCATTTGTTGCATATCACCCCACTGTAATCCTTGCTAGTATTACCTGCCTTAAGCTCATCTAGTGTCTCCTCTAGCCTGTCACCAGTTTTCTGTCAATCATTAACACACTAAGTTCTTAGAGGGATTAGGCAGTGCTACCACCCTTTATCCTCTGGTTATTGTGGCTGATTTTGAGCAAACAGCTTTGTGCCTTTCTTTGATGTTCCCACTCAGTTGAACAGTTCTGGTGACCACTCCTAAAGCAGGCATAGTACCTTTCAGACTTTAGTGGTCATGATCATGTGAAACCACTGTCCAGTGTGCTGATGGGCATTGATTTAATTTCCTCTAAGCCACTTACAGTAAGGTGTTCAGTGTAGGATTTTTATTGGCTTTGGGAGGGGCATGTGTTTTTTTTCAGTATCATTGGGTAAAGTGGGATTCTGTTTTATGACTGGGGCTAAGACGTATCATACTAATGCAAATAAAGCTCTACAGGAGACATCCTAGAAGTTCTTGTCTACTTTTAATTTAAAACCATAATTATGTTCCTCCTCAAGGTTTGAAGGGCTAGGTTAAACAACTTTGAGAAGCAAAATTAATTTTTATTTCCTTGTAAGTTTTGCTTTCCGCTGTTTCTCTTTTTAGTTATGCCAATGTAAAGAAGTGCAGCAATGAAGGACGTGCCTTGATGCAACTGGACTTTCAACAGTTCCTAATGAAACTAGAAAAGTTAACAGACATTAGGCCTATTCCAGATAAAGAATTTGTGGAGACCTACATTAAAGCATACTACCTAACAGAAAATGACATGGAACGCTGGATAAAAGAACACAGGGTAAGAGTTAAATTTGCATTCTTTTATTGTCTATCAAGAAAATTCACCACGATGATAAAATCATGCTAACAACTGTAAATAATGTGTTAAAAATTAATATATACATATATGTGCGTATATTAATTTATTATGATAAAATCTGTATAGGAAGAAGTATAAATGTAATTGCATGTGTGCATGTATGTGTTCATTCTCACATGAAGTCAGTATGTATTTGTATTGCTTTAATGTCTGATGACTAGGAAGGATGACTAAACCAGTCACAGCCACGTACTGTATCCAAAAATGTAGAGAACTAGAGCAAAGTGAAATTGAAAACATTTGTGTGCTGTTCAGAATATGCCAAAGTGCACAACTCCATCATCAAGAAGTATGGTTTGAAATTGCACCATAAAGTTTTGCATTGCCTTTAGGAGTAGTTTGCTTAAACTAAGCTGGAAGGCACAAGGAATAAGAATAATTGCTTTTTCTTTCCTTATTTAATAGTGCTTAATCAGGATTAACATTGCTCTCTGAGATGTCTTCATTTGTGTTTTGAGAACAATTAGCATGCTTGATAGCATAAACTATATATATATAGTTTATATATATATATGCATGATAGCATAAACTAACAATTATAACAGCACTGTGTAAGTAGTGGTCACATGCTATTGGAGATGCCCGTTGTTGAAAAGTCTTTTAAAGTGGAGCACTTGAAATTTGTATTTTGGGATTACTTTAAATCCCACTAGAAATGAATGAAAGAAATTTGTCTTTAATATAATTTTCCTTGTTTTACCTGGAGTCAAGAGAGAGATTGTGAGCTGTTGTTTGATGACCTGTGTGGAAAAACTCTTGTTTAAACCCATTAGTGGAAGCTGTGTTTTGGATAGTGTTAGATATAAAGGTAATCCTGGCAAATATGGTGTTTTCACAGATGTTAAGAATTCTTGTCTTAACATTTTTGTCATTTTTCCCTCCTTTACCATGTACTGAAATGAACATTGTTTGGAGACTCTGTAGACAGAAGCATTTAGAAGCTAATTGGAAATGAAAAGACAAAATAAAAAAGATCAACTTTTGTCACAGTTTGTGTTAAAAGCTTAACCATTTGCACACATATTTCCCACCATACCTCCCAAAGAATGGAAAAAATATTAAGAATTGATTTATATACATATTCACAGTTACTTTCTGTGAAGTCTGTCCAACACTTCTAAAGTCTTAAGCATTTTCCATTATAATCTGCCATGTAGTGAAATACATTTTTGTCCTCTGCCTCAACTCTGAAAACTCTCCAGACCTGACTTAACTACCGCTTTAAATCTGCCTTGTGTACTGACTGCTACTATGTGAAAAGTCCACACTGAGTATGTCTGCATTTTATTAATTTTCTATCTTTGGTGTTTTATTCTGGCGTAACATGATCTGCTTTTGTTTGCCAGGAGTACTCCACTAAGCAGTTGACCAATCTGGTGAATGTTTGTCTGGGCTCCCACATCAACAAAAAGGCAAGACAGAAGCTGTTAGCTGCCATTGACGACATAGACAGGCCTAAAAGATAACTGGAGAAAGCTGCTTTCCTTGTGACTTGTACCTTTTTCTGTTCATGTGAAGCATGCAGACAAATCTCCCATGAACTAATGACAACATGAAATGTTGTGCATGACCTTTCTTACCAACATTGGAGGCACTCTGAAGTGACATAGTGTTCTAAAATATGACTTTTCTAATCTGTAGAATTCTTTTCTGTTTTCTTTCTTTTTTTTTTTTTGTTACTTGCCCTTAGTAAAGGGCCACTGTTTGTGTATCATTGGTGAGCTGTATATTTTGCAAAAGTTATACTGTAAGTAAAATCAAAATCAGATAGAAAGACACTGGCTTAATATATCATTGATGCTCTTTTTAAATAAAAGGGCTACTGGAAAATATGATTTCTTTCCTCCCTGCTTTCACCCTCAGAAATTGTGCTATACTATGGACCAGTGTAAAATGAAAGGAAATGTACAATATTCAATCGATGTATCCTGCATGTGGATTAAGAGTCCAGATCAACTAAATAACTCTCATGTTAAAGCCCCTCATCTTTATATGTATTTAAAAATGTCTGTTTATTTCAGAATTAATTTAGTCATATCAAAATTATTGACCTCATATTAATAGAAGGTAATAAATACTGTACACTAATATGATTTCTTTGTGAGAGTTTGTTTTTTCAATTCGACAACTCAAAATGTCAGCAATAATGCCAGGGAATTGGAATAATGTTTTTCTGACTGAAGTTTTGGATTGATACTAAGATCTTCCTGTTTCCTGCTCTGCTGTAGACATCCTGAGTGATCCTGAGCAAAGCAAAATGGCTTGGCTGCATATTTGTCCTAGAAATCAATTTGTCAGAGCTTCACTGACTAGACTGAAGTTTTCAGGTTTGCCCTTGGTTTTCAGTATGTAAAGTTGTAGAAATTTTATTTTTTATTACGTAATAAACTTTTTGCAGTACTCTCAGACCTTTTAAAAGGAAACACTGAGCTAATAGGTAAAATAATTCACACGGATGCAATCCACTAATGTATACAACATGCAAAATTCTCAGTTTGTGATTCATACTTGCTATTGTACTTTTAATTCAGACATAGGAGAATCAGGACATACAAATGACAGCAGTAACCTAGTGACAGAAAATTGCCCCTTGGATCATCAATTGCTCTTCTCTGTGGCTTAATTTCCTCTTCAAAAGTGTACTGAGCATCATTGTGTGAGTTCTAAGAAAGCCTGTATACAGTTTTAGAAGAATGATAGAATTTACATTTTAAATATTGACTGTGTGGTATTCAGCTTCCTTGTTTATCTGTGTATTTTAAAGGAAATAAGATTTAAAACAAAATTTAGCACCATTCTTTATTGACCATGCTGTCATGTCTAGTTCCATTTAAAACTTGCTAAGCGGTTTGTCACCATGTAGGTTGAAGCTGAATCACTTTTACCCTCATTAAAAAGGTGGTTCAAATGAAAGTGTGGACTTTTGCGTCAGCGTATCTGCCCTGAAGTCAGATCCTGAGCGAGAGCTCTCAGAAGAAACAGAAACGTGTCGGAGACGATTAGTGTAAAATATGTTTCAATTTTCTTCTCTTGGATGAAATAAGAAATTCAGATATCTTTACCAGAGCTTTGGTGAGCTGAACACATGGTTAATTTCTCCCGAACTGCTTAGGTCACTGTAATTTGATTGTGTACCAAAAGGTAGGAGTATAAGCGTTGACTGGAATGTAGAGTCAAGGCGAGCAATTGCATGAACCATAGTCAGCAGTGATTTTTTGTAGTGTATGTATAGTTTGACTTGTTATTTTTAAGTAAGTCCCCAAATAAAAGAATGTGCGAGATGCAGTGTTAAACCTATGCAACAACTGTTTGATCTTCATTCATATATGCCTCAGAAATTATATTTTCCACAGAAGCCTTCCCTTGCTCCCCATGATTGATGCTAAGGGCAGAGCCACATAGCTTAGTGACCTACATACACTCTTAGATTTAACTGTCACGTTGCCCTGTATAGAGTGAGGAGTTGGACTCAGTGATCCTTGTGGATCATTCCAGCTCAGGATATTCTATACTCCATGGTCCTGGGTGACTAATGAAGCCAAGTTTTCACTGAATGCTGAATTGTTAACTTACTAAGGGTCTGTTTTGTGGTTTCCATCCTCTGATGTGAGAATTTTTTACAAACCATTGATTTTTTAGCATCTTCGTGCATCTTCATTCTCCTGGGCAATAAGAAGCCTCTTATACTGCTTTTTGTGCAATAGAGAATATTGCTTAAATATCATTTATGTTTTAGAGGAGAGTTACTTTAATAATGAGAGAATTTCCTTCAGTCTCCAAGTAGAATGACCAGCAGTGCAGAGGTGGACAGTGCATCTATCTGTCCTTCTTTAGCCTAATGAAGACTAAATCCTGATCCCCAGACAGTAAGGTCTCTGATGTTTGCCAAACTCAACTGGAGCATAGATGAGCAGTTTTCAAATCTCTGATTAGGCAAAGCCTGTCTCTGCTCTGATAGTGCACAACTGGGTTTTCAGCAGTCATCTTCTCTCAGTTACATCTCACGGTGATGCTGTTCTGCAAAGAAGCAGCTACTGGGACAAAAATAAGGGGAAGCCAACTGACTGTTTGCTGTGACCCTGGTGTAGGATTGAAGTCCTTGCTTTGGAGTACGTTTAATTATTCAAAGCAGAATGGAATTGCCGGGAAAGACCGCCTTGGAACAGCAGTGCTTCAGCTGATGGGAAGTGCACAGAGCAACCCCTGGAGGTGTTAATTCAGATGCCTTATCTGGGTATGTACACGAATGCTCCATGTTTTCAGAAGAGTAGCTACATTTTCAGGTAACTGACAGTTCTGGATTCTGTTGTTCCCGCATGGGTAAGAGTCTTCCCATGTCAAAAATAAAAGCTTTGCTTGCTTCTGAGAAAAACTAGGCCCTGGCCATATCTGCTTAGCGAGCCCTGGATGTAGGGTGTAGATTATAGCTTGTTCACTGAAAGAACAGCCTCCCTTCTTTTGTCCCTACACCGTTAGGGGGGAAAAAAGGGATGAGTGATCAATGGCTGCCCCAAAGCTTCGGTGAAAGGTTTGTATTCCCTTTTAATTTTTGCAGATGTGAATGACAAAAGCATATCTTTGATAGATACCCAGTGAAAAGCTGCAGATGTGGGTTGTGCACTTGACTCGTTACTGTGCCACAGAATACACAAAAAGATCTCTCTTCTTACTATGGAAATGATATATTGGGGTCTTTCCTGTTTAAGACCTGCTATACTGTAAATGATGCAAATGTGGCAGTTGTCAGATGCCTGATGCAGTTATTAGTACAGTACTAAGCATCTGTGAGTTTTTAGGACCATTTATTTCTGGAAGTGTAGGAAGATGTCATTGATGTAAATGACTTTGACCAGGGACTGATTCCTGGCCCTGAGCTGCCAACTCAGCTGTCTCCTCCAGCACAGTCTGAATATTTAGGCAGCCAAATGTTCCAACCATCAGCGTGCTCATGAATGGCTTATATTGTACTGCATTTCAACTAGAGAAAATTTTTGCCATAAATAGTAGTGCATCATAGCTGTTAGCCCTTCCTTCCCCCCTTGCACACGCAGCCCAGTGTTGTACTGGTGTCTCTGCTGTTTGACAAGACCTTTATGTTGAAGTCTGTTTGTTTATTTTTTAATAAGATGTTTACCTCTGCCTTCTCTTGCTCAAAATCCCTGTGGGAAGATGCAGGGCTCTGGGTGATGCACGTGTTTTTGCCTGTGTGCAGTAAGATAGCTCTTGGTGTTCGTGGCTGCCCTGGCCGGGAGGATGGATCCCCCCATGGGTGGCACCTTAGCTAACAGGTTAGATACCTACAGGTTGCATACCACAGCAACCAGGTCACGGAGCTGTCCTGAGCTTTGATTCAGGTTCTGCTCTGTCTTGGTGCCTGGTGTAGGGAAGTTTGTTTTGTTTTCCTGTACTTTACTCACCCAAGAGTAAAAGAAATTACGTTGTCTCTCATGTTTTATGAAGTGCCATCAGGCTGTGGTATCATAGATGTGAACTGTACTTTTAGTGACCATTGGTGACTTAACCCCAAGGAAACTGAAACATGAACTCTTCGTGGAGAAGATGGCACATAAGGAAACTTCCTTTCCTGTGTCTCAGGCTTTTTAGATGCTGTTTCCCTTGTATTAGGACAGAAGCCAGTAATCTCATACAAGTTCTTCTGATGCTGTACTCCAGACCACACCGGGCTGTGCCGCTGCACGTGTGGCAGGGAACCCTCCTATGGACCAGAAAACGGGCTGAGCTATAGATAGGACTCTCCTATGCATTACAATGGTCTGCTACTACCAGACAGATTAGGTAGGGAAGACTGTCAACAAAATTAAAGGGAGATTTATGTCTTTTTTTTAAATGAAAACATGAAAGGATACTAAAAATACATACACCCTCATGACTGTCCTACTGTACACCATCAGTAGGAACTCATGCCCTCTGTGTGACTCATGGGAGTAATTAGCTACTATGGAGCTAAGTACCCTGAAGACACTGCATGGATGCAGACTGAAAGATGCCTTATTGGGAGGGAAACTTCCAAAGAGGCATGAGCTATAAGAAGGCAAGACATTTGCAAATAAGATCTCATTTATTGTGATGTTCAGTGTGTTTCTAGCTAAAGGAAAATGTATTTAATGAGCAAGGAGTTTTTCACTTAGGATTCAAGCCTTTATCTTCCCCTTCTACATAAGTGGTTTTCATTGCATGAGTTCTCCTCCTCTCCCATTTGTGTGTACCTAGAGCCCATGCTTTCCTCACTACATATCCAGACACCTGGACTTATGCAAGGATCCTTTCAGAGAGCGGTGACTTGTGAGAAGTCTACCTGCAGGAGCCCACAGCAGCACTGCTGGCAAAGCACTTGCTGGAAGAGGGGCCAAGAGGGGCCACAAAGGCAGCAGGCTCCATGTGGGACATCTTAGGCCAGTTATAGGTCTCTGCTGGCTTTACGAACCAAACATTTGCTGTTCATCAGCAGAACTTCTTACCCCATGGAAAGAAGCAGGAGAGACTCTGGGGATTACCTTTTTCTTTTCCTTGAAGCACAAGTTATTTTTCTTAAGGTACACAAAGTTCTTGAGCATTTGTTTTCTTTACAAATAATGGGTTTTTTTTTTGCGAAGCCCAAATCTGAGACTGTTACAAATGAAAAAATCAGGTAAAGAGACCTGGGAATGTTTTTATTAATGCCTATCCATGCTTTTTAAGATCTATGTTTTCAATAATGAGAAATAAGGGGATGATATCTTTAGACACTTTTTTTTCTGGAGGCATTAAATTGATTAGCTTTAATTGTCTGGGTGAGTGTGCGGACTCTAAGCTGGTAGGCTCTGTTTAAGATTCTACATGATTAGTTCCCGTGAACTTGTGTGCTCTTATCTCATGTCTTTATGTTGAGACTCATTTCTGTATTAAATTTCAGTTTTCTGCATTTGAAAGGAGTGAATTGTATGAATTATTAAAACACATTTATTAATCTCTAATGAATGGTTAAGACTGGGAATTGGATTGAGTGACATATGTGCACGAAATTTTGAAGCTTGCACTTTGTCGGTATGAGAAAAAAAATCTTGAATTTGATTAATAATTTTCTGGAGGATAG